ATGCGCATTGGTCAGTTGAATTGTGCTTACATCTTGTATTTCCTCGCTTTAATATAAGTTGGCATTTTGTTGGAACTGACAGGTTCCGATGAAAATAATTTTGCAAAGTCGTTGCTTGTAGTTGAGATCCATAAAAAGGCTTTTAACAAGTGGATAAATCGTCTGAGGCATGGGCAGCCCTCCATTACCGTAGACCTCATTTGATACTTAGTCTGTGAAGTTCTACTGTGCTGTGCACTTGTGCTTCAATATTTAATGTTACCTAGTTCTTATTTTTTCGTATACCTGGTTGTTGAAACGTACTTTTAAACCTATTATTTTCGTTATCGTGTTTTTTTTTCCTGTTACCACTGAAAGGCCCTAATCTTTTTTTACTTAGAGCACGGTAATTTTCGAGCATGTCGCCAAAGTAAGCGGACCAGAGGTTTAAAAGATATAACTCTTTTTTACTTATTAAATATCAATCAAGGGTCGTCGTTTTGACACAAAGCTAACGAAAATTATTGCCGTTATTATAAATTCGCTCGCGCTTAAATGACAGTGCCTGAAATGAAACCTGATTGGTTTATCAAATCTCGCGCGCGCTTGACTCTCTTTTGTTATGTCACAATCTGGAAAAATCCATTCGCATGAAAATACTGTCCAGAGAGACTTATATTTCAAAGCGCGTAAACTTTATTCAGATACAACCCAGCAAAAGCTAAAAATGGGATCTGCTTTAAGTTCATACAAATCCAAGAGAAGAGATAAGAAAGAATATAAGAGGTGAGTAAACATTTTTCCGCTTGGAGGAAAATATTCAGATGCTCTTGCGACTCGGTTTTTTTTCTATGGACATTGATCACATCGTCTATCTTGTTCAAATTTGTATACTTTTTTACCGTCGAGTAGGAAACTAAGAGAGCAACTGAAAGAAGCACAAGAACACGTAGCTCGTCTCCAGGAACAAGTTCAGTGTGCAAATGAGTAAGTACATTGGAGTAATGTTTGCTGGGGTGGCTGATTCTTTCTCGATTAAACTTCTCTTCGTTGACTTTCTCCTTTTTATACCTAATCGTAAAATCCGAGTAAAAAGTCCATATGCACTAGTTATGTAACTGTCTATAGCTAGGAGGGCTTCATCTGGGTTATTCTGACAAATAGAGAGGGACTGTGTATTGAGGTGGTTACCTAGTATTTCTAGCTCTTGTTAGACCAGTATTTCTAGCTCTTAGTAGACGCAAAGAAGGTGGATAATTTGTTCTATCTGAGACCTTTTCTTAGCTTATTCTTTTCTTCAAAGTCTTATTTTGTAAACCTAAAATTAGCACTTGCTAATGCAATTCACCATTATTGTCCATTACCTGTGTGGGCTAATTATTCTTGTTCGTTCTCTTTTGACATTTTATTTAGATTACTTGAGGCCTTTCAAAGGTCACGCATCGCCCCTAACATAGGGCTTGCAACACAGAAATATCGAGCAGCCACTGAAATGATGAAAGAAATTGAAGCTTTGGAGCGAAAGCTTTTCTTTGAGCAAGTTGCTCTGAATGTTACAGAAAATAGATGTGACTTTCTGGATGACAACTACCGGTAATCAAATCGTTGTTAAATAACCTTACACTGTGGCGTTATTAAAAAGTTAAATACAAAAGTTGTAATTCTTCACATCAAAATATTGTGAGTTCTCAAATAATCAGAAGACTCTATAATAGAACTCAGTCAGTGCATAGAGTGTTTGGAGATCGGCAAGTATGGAGGGGAGGGGAGAGAACGAAAGCTAGTGCTCTCAAATGGGGCAAATCAGAAAAAAAATCATCTCAAGCTATAAATATGTTTTATCTCTTTTTACAGTCTTCTTCACGACAATGAGACGAACCTTTACTGGCAGAAGTCATCCTGTCAAACAAACCTGGAGGCCTTGAAAAAGAAACAAGAGGCCATTCAGTTCAGTCGATTCAAAGACGAAAATCCGCTGGAACAGTGGTTCGTTTGCTCGCTTCCAAATCTTTACTTCGGAAGAGTTGACACCCCATCATCATGGCATTAGTGTTCTCTTAGTTGAAAAAATGAAAATGAAAACAATGTAGTGCCTTTGTTGTCTTAGATATTTTAAATGAAACATTTTTATTATGCCGTAGCTGAATCTTATAGACATATGATGTGATTTAACTTTTTATTGAAATATCCAATAGAAATTTAATAAACTTACAGTGATTTTTTTGTTCGAGGTGATGTAGTAGTAGCTAGTTATCTGGCACTATTGAAAGTGAATTAAAAGCCCTAGCCTCAGATGAATCTGACCACTCAAAGCCAAGGTCATCAACCGCAACACAATGGTAATTTATAGTAACCACATGATTTTCCCAATCAGGAGCCCATTCAGTCAAGATTCGTGGTTTAACTTTCAGTAGAAACATCATAGCGATGAACACCATTACGTCATGAACTCTGCGGAAGATTTCAGAGTTAAAGCAATTTTATTTAAGTGTTTTTATTCCGTCTCGATAGTGAGATCTCAATTCAAAATAGGAGAAGGAGATAAATAATTTTACAATGGAGGGGAAAAATGTTTGGTGCCACTCATAAACTCGGTCCACTAAGGTCCAACTTCTGCGCCTATCAATTTAACGTGAACGTAACGCCCCAAATTATCAAACAGGTGCCTTGAGAAAGAGTAAATGACTAAGAGTTAGAAGCTTTGATATACTCGATACAGTGTGTTCGCAGACTGTTTTTTTTTTGTTTCCTTTGTGTTTCCCGGAAACGAGATTTTCCACGTCAGTTCGCATCACGAACACCATAACTATCCTATAAAAGGAAACTTGAAGTACCCAGACGCACGTTCCTTATGAAGTTTCTTATATTCAGTCACTTTTACCAAAACACAAACACAGGTTTCACCTTTTGTGCACTTGTTCACTTGAGTCTTTAAACAATGGATAGCCGAGGGGAAAACCTCGTTGCTTTCATTTTTCAAACCCTAACAAGTATCCGAACACATTTTCACACCAGTAGGAGAGGTAGTTGTTCATTCTTGCTAGAAGTTAATACGAGCATCATTACGCCTTTATTCATCGGATCCGTTTCAGATATTGAACACAGTTATGGGAATAATTAAAAAAGTTTTTACTTGACTTTCTGTTGTCAGGGGAATAATGCTGCTGAAGATATGCAAACTTATATAAAAGTATTAGCGCCCACCTTTTCACCCCACAGTGAATATGTTCCAAACAAGTTTTAATTTATTAAAATTATTCCGCTCTGCCACTATCTCTTAAAAGGTACAGTACATTTACAGTTAAAAATCTCGGACAATGCCCTCCTTATCTCGGAATTAAAAAAGCCGTATATGAATGGATTCAGAGCACTGTTGCAGTATAAAAGGATGATCGAGGAGTGTCTGATAAGATTCGGAACAGGTGAGATTGAATCTATTAAGAGAATCACGACAAATGGTGTCCAAGAAATCAGAAAAGTACATGTGACAATGAGAAATGTTTTGAATATTTTGATCTCCCGTTTCAGTCGTGCTCTTTGACTAGTTTTCTTAGGTGCTCCTTCTTGACTCAGCGCGTTCTCCGTAAACGTCGAAACAGGAGCCAGCGATATCTCTTGCACGTGTATTCTGGTCATATGAGCATGCGCAATGAGAAACACCTTCA